CGGGCGAGGGGCTGCCCCGGGAAACTTGGGGCTTTTCCGGGATTTTTTTTGGGGGGGGGGGGGGAATCCCTGCGTAGCAGAATACACGTTTCACAAAAGGAGGGGGGGGAAAACGTGCGAGCAGTTTGGTGCACTAAATCCACGTTAGGGGATGGAGTGACAGGGAAGAAAAACCTGCAAAGGAAGGGGGATGAGGTAATTAGAACACTATTTTTATACAATATTGAAAAAATACAAATTTTTATTGTGATTTTTTTTTGGTTTTTTGTGTTTTTTTGTTTTTTTTTTTTAATCTTTTAAACTGATATCACCACCCAGCACTTACTCTACTCCTAAGTAGCACCTACAGTAAAGGTTATAGCACAAGCAAACTGCTAGGTCAGCAGGTAAGCAAGTTAAACAGTGCCAGCAAAACGTGGCCCCTCCCTCCCCAAAGTAATGAGAAAAACAGCGTGCTAGATAAGAGTTAAGTACACCATTACATGTTAAATAGTTAATATTACCCTTCCGACAAGCCACAAATGCTAGATAGAGAACTTCAGCACAGTCACTAGCCACAGCCCTAACATTACTGCTTTAAAATAAAAAGGGAAGAAGGAGAGGAAAAACCTTTGCTTCATGCCCGTAATTAACATAAAGGAAATTCTTTGTATATTTTTATTAAGGAAAATCATGCTAAAGCAAAGTGGTACTTTAAGAGGTTTGGGGTTCCCCAACCCCCCCCCAACGAAAAAAAATAAATTGATTGTGCTTTATGAATTAGAAATAGGATTGTAACCTTCCAACCCCAACGACTCAAAACTTGGTGGCATTTCTAAAGGAAAAAAAAAAAAACCCCAAACCAAAACCCCAACAATTCTGGGAAAATGACAAATGTACCAGTCTGACATTCAAAACTCTGCTCGAGAGTTGCTCAGGGTGGGTTGATTTTTTTTTCCATGCACTGTCCTGTAGGTTGCACCACAAATTCAAACGTCTTGTCCAAAGCCCTCCAAAAACCCCAAAAGAATACAGCAGGTAACATTCAGCATTAAAAATCCATCTTAGTTTGAATCTCCAATGCACAAGTATCCAAATTCAAGTATACCGGCATCCCAGGTAGACATTTTACTATATCAGATTTTGTAGCATCAAAACAACAAACAAAAATCTCAGCTTGCTGAAAGACACCAGGAGAAATCAAACATTTCAATTCAGAAGCATCCTGGAAAAAACAAAAACAGAACAGAGCAGATTCACTTGCTTCCTCAATTGGTGCTTTTAGGCTTTTTTTATTCATCTCAAATTTTTCTAGATCATATTCTTTGTTAACTTTTAAGAAATTTTAATCCTGTTGTACACACACAAGCAGATGGCTAACCAAGCTGGTGCAGAAGGGGAGGGAGGGGGGGGAAGAGAATAAAATCAGTGCCGATGGATTCGTGGACTACAGCCAATGGGCCAATCTTCGTGGATCTGAAGCTCTCAGCAAGGCTAATCCATCTGGTCAGAGGACCCTCTTAGGAGATGGAGAGTGTTTGAGAGGTGTTTAACCATACTTCAAGCAAGAGAAGAAAAAAAAAAAACAAAACAAAAAGCAAACTTGAAGCCGTTAAAGGGCAGCAGTTTCAAAACTATGACAAAGTAAGGGTTTGACTTCACATGTGCTCCAGCTAAATCAAAGCACTGTTCAGAGAGCATCGTTTGTGATTTGTGGGGTGGTTTTTTTTTTTTCCTTCCGAAAAGGGAACAGCTCGTAATCCAGACCAAGAAAGTGAATAACATCCAGATGAAGGCTTTCAAAAGTCCCAAAAGCAAATATACCAGTGGTTGTCAGTCCCTACAGTTCAGAAGGGCAGGCAGGAGTCCACATATAAAAACGGACTTAAAATCCAAGTCAAAATTTTTAAGCTTCAATGCTCTGAATAGCTCCATGCATTTGTATGGTTTGTTTTTATTTTTTTTATTGTTTTTTTTTTTTAAATGTGACTCCACATAAAATACGATCAAGCAAGGTTGACCTGAAGGAGCACCTTTTATTCCACTGTCTGATCTACACGGTTAGTATATCATCCCCCAGATTTTATACTTTGAGAAAACGCTGTTCCACGTTAGCATCCAAGGTGGTGTCTTTGGAAACATCGATAAGAAAGCAAACATCTTTTTGCTAACTCCCTACCTACCAGGGCAGCTGTTTTAGCTGACAGTTCAGTAGCACACAAGTTCACTTGGCCAAATGGAATTTGAATGCATGCATTCGGGCTGCATATTGCTACCAAAATGGAATGTGGGAATATGCTATGCACCTCGGGTTCGAGAAATGACCAAGAAAATCAAGATCTAAAGGGTGATATATATATATCAATGCTATTATTCATAAAAACCTGTTTAGTAATAAAAAAAATTGCTTTGTTTAAATATGAATATTATAGTCTGCTTCTCATGGTTAGGAAATTAGAGTCTCTCTGAAAAGCAGGTTGCCTCTTCTACTACAACTCCATATCCTGAGCCTCATCTTCCGAGAAGTCGGACATGGAGCTCTCAGATGAGCTGTCCCCGGTGCCTTCTTCCTGTTCTTTTAGTGCTTCTTCTGTTGCATATTTCTGAATGTATTCTGTATGTGACAGAAAAGAAAAGACATATAAGTAGCATATATTCAACAGTCAGAGTGACGACGACTAACGGCTGGTTGGGTCACATCATGTTTGGTAAGTCATATAGGTTACCATATTTCTCAGATCAAAGGCAGCATTGTTCAACAACGTGTGAAAACAGCTGATGGAGACCTTAGAGGTGTGCAAGACCCTTGAAAACAAGTACGATCACAAGGCTCCTACGTCAGCATGACGCACACTCGTAGCCAGAAACAACCTAAGTCCTCCCCGGTATGGTGTATCTCACTTAACAGGACAGCATTCAATTTACTGCCAAAATAGGAGCTACCGTGGTGACCTAGAGAACAAGCCTAAAAAGCCATCAAGATGTCACTATATAGCCTGACTTCAAGAAATGAAGATCCGAGAGTTTAAACCAATAGCACAGAACAACCGTCACTGAAGCCAAGCTGAGAGCAAGACTGCACTTCCAGACTAAACTCTGCATAAGCAGAGTTTAAGGAAGGATAGACCGAGAAAGCAGAGCAGAAGACTACTGCAGGAAGAGCTGCACTTTTTTTTTTTAATAAAAAGCAAAAGCTCCCTTCCCCAGCCTTGAAATAAACACGGGTCTGCCCCAGGCTCTGTTTTCAAAGCACAGCTCTTGCAACCTGCTTCACATCAGCCAGCAGCCACAGGATTAGCTGAGAAGGACCCGCGGGGAGGCCTCCGCGGGGCGGAGGGCCACCGCGCTGCAGGTCACCGATGGAAACCGTGTCTCACAGCGGGGTCTAAACCACACTGGCTCTAGGCACCCAGATCAACACCTTGAACCCCAGCCAGGAGCAAGCAGGAAGCCGTACGGCAAGCGGGAAAACTGGTTTACTGGGATTCCTGCAGGCAGATAAAGTAACCGCTGCCAACCGTGTGGCTTCCGCAGTCACCTCCACGCAGAGGGACAGAGCGAAAGGCGACACGAACTGGATCGGATCAGTCAGACCGAGTCTGGCAATCCCTTTCCTTCCTTCGTGGCTGCAGGAGGCTCCCGCGGTGTCCCCTCTGAGATCCGAAGAGGGGCCGGTGTCCCCAGCAGGCAGGCTACCTTGAGCAGAGAGAGTCTATTCCTTACATGCATGCAGGTGTGCAGAATGGAGCAAGGGTGGAAACTTGGCACAAAACTGGGCTAAAGAAGGGGTGCTCAGCCTCAACCTCGAGTCTTCCTCTTATTTATCTCCTCTTTTCCACCTCACACAGAGAGAGCAGCTTCATAGTATGAAGAAGTGATGTAACCTCAGTATGCCAACAGCACATCCTCCGCGCTGCAGGTCACGCACTTCAGGAAGGAGAGGGGTGCTGTGCTCACGCTGCCATTGGGGAATTACGGTTGCAAACTCATTATCTTTCCAGATACGAAGGTACTAAAATACAACAAAGCCTCCTCCAAACCACAGTATTAAAAAAACTGAAGAAAGAGGGAATACCACCAGCTCTTGGTCGCCAAGGATGAGCCCCTGCGCGGAAATGCGAACGTCACATCCCGGTCCCAGCCCAGCAGCCGTCCCACCTGTATGTTCTTTAATTCCTCCCAGGGAACGAGGTCCGCAAGGAGCATCTCTCCTCCAGGAGCACAGATCACTGCTTTTTATTCCATACCGTATCGGCAGGGGGGGGGGCTGACAAAGCTGCGGGAGGACGCATCTAATGCCAGATAACCAAGTGCTACAACACAGGTTTTAAAGACTGTGCTTTGCAGACCCTGTCTGTTCC